ACTGAATAAAGAGTAACCAAGTTAGTAGTGGCAACAACTGACAAGAGGCAATCGTTGGTACTGTATGTCACTAAATTGACACAAGAAAAAATCTTGTTGGGGGCAAACAAATCATAAATATAAATCAAGAAAACAACTATTAAATATAACTGAAATTGGTGTTTTAACTGATAAATATGGGCACAAGGACACAATTATTGTAGAGGCACCTGGCTAAAGAACCAGAGGCACCACAAAAATGTCAACAATCTGATTAAAGATGTCAAATTGATAAGAGGCAACTGCTAGTACTGTATGTCAACAAATTTAGTTGAAGAGGGCAAACCAGCCAGTGTCAAACAACGATGAAGAGCAACCGAAGGTCACGAACGATAAAAAGAAACCAATGAATGCGCCAAACAAATTCAGTTTAAGAGGCAAAATCATGGAAGGTGCCATCAACTGATGCCAGCAGCAACCGGGTTGGTATGTCAAACAACCGAATACAGGCAACTGCTAGTGTGGTACAACAACTGATGAAGAGGTTCGCTGGTGTCACAACAAACTGATGAAGAGGCAAACCTGGCTAGCACGCGTCAACAACTGATGAAGAGGAACAATCATAATGAAGAGCAAAATCAATAGTGGTATTGTTTAAACCCGGCTGAATATAAACTGTAGCTAGGTATGTCAATGGTTCAGATTAAGAGGGCACCAATAGTATGTCAACAACTGATGAAGAAGAGGTAAACTGGCCAGTAATGTTCAACTGATGAAGAGGCACCATGTACAACTGAAATTGGCGTTGGTGCGTCAAACAAACCGATGAAGAGGCAATCCGTTATAACAACCGATGAAGTAAACCCAGCTAGTGCTGTCAACAAACTGATGAAGAAAACCGGCTAAATTGGTAAGGCCAACTGATAAGAGGCAACTTATTAATAACGAATCGATATGAAGAGGCAATCAATAGCGTCAAACAACTGATGAGAAAACTGCTTAAAATTTGTATGTCAAACAACTACCAAACAACCGATGAAGAGGCAAAATCATTAAAGGCAACAACAACCATTAAAGAAAATCATTGAAGTCGCATACAACTGAAGTTAAGAGGCACCTGTTGGCGTCAAATTAAACTGATGGAAGAGGCAGAACTGGTTGGTGTAAAACAACTGATGAAGAGGTAAATCAGCGGCACTGTAAAGTCAACAATCGACAAGATAAACTGGCTAAAAATAAACAACTGATGAAGAGGCAACCGCAGGTTAATATAACCGCCAAACTCGCGTCAACAACCATAAAGAGGTATGTCAACAACCGACAGAAAGAATCAGTCAACAAATTGGTTAAAGAGTAACCATTAACAACAAATAAACTGGTTTTAGGTTATGCAACTGGAAGTCAAACAACCATTAAAGAGGCAACTGGCTATGGTGTCAGTCAAATTGAAGATGTGCATGCGCGGCCAAACAACTGATGAAGAGGAAATCAATAATAAACTGATGAAGAATCAGTTAGTAGGTGTCAACAAAATCGAAAGAGAACTGCTGCAGGCCAGCCAACCAGGCGAAGAGGCAAATCAATAAACGTCAACAAACTGATGAAGAGGCAATCAATAAAGGTCAAACAACTAATACGAAGAGGCACCCGCTAGTATGTCAAACAAATCATTAAATATAAACCTGGCTAGTATGTCATCACAACCTGATGGGTGAGAGGCAACTGGCTAGTGCGTCAACAAACTGATGAAGAGTAAACTGCTGCACCAAACGATAAGAAAATTCATACAGTATACAACAACTGACAAGTGAGGCAAACTGGCTAGTATGTAATAACAAACTGATAAGAGGTGTAAAATCAATATGTCAACAACTGATGAAGAGTAAACGGCTAGTACCTTCTTGCGTCAAACAAACTGATAAGAGAATCAGATACAGGCAAACAACTGCTACGAGGCAAATCAATAGGTAAGGTCAAACAATAAACTGATATAAATCACCAAGGGTCAACAAATTGATGAAGAGGCAATCTGGCTAGCGGCAACAAACTGATGAAGAGGCAACGCAATGTCAGTGGTGTCAAACAACTTAGATGAAAGATAAATTGTTAGTGGTGTCAACAAACTGACGAATATGGGGAACTCATTAAAGCGTCAAACAAATCATAAGAGGCATCAAGGTATAACAACAACGATGAAGAAATTGGTTGTTTCAACAAATCGACAAGAGAAGAACTGGCTATATGTCAACAACCAGTCGAAGAGCAACTGTCAGGTATATGTCAACAAACTGACAAGAAAACCTGCTAGTAAGGTCAACAACCAATGAAGAGGCAGAATCAAGCGGTATGGTCAAATCTCAATGGTAGGCAGGCAACTGCTAGTAAGTGTCAAACAAATCATGAAGAGGCAACGGTTAGTGTCAACAACTAATGAAGAGTAAACTGGCTAGGCCAACAAACTGATGAAGAGAGGCAACCACATAGTAAGGTCACAACAATTATTTAAAGATAATCAATAAACCATTGGGGTGAAAAACTGGCTAGTAAGGTGTCAAAACAACTAATGAAGATAAAAGGAATTGCTGCATATCAACAAAAAACCCAATAGAAGATAAACTGCTAGTAAGGGCCAACAAATTGATAGAGACAGGCAAATCATTAAAATCAAGTGTCAAACAACTGACATGAAGAGAGAGGCAACCAAGGGCCAAACAACTAATAAGAGGCAAATTGTTAGTAAATACAAACAAACCAATGAAAAGAAAATTGCCAGGTAAGGTCAACAACCTGAACAAAGAGGCAAACTGTTAGGCAACAACAACAATCATTGGGGAGGCAACTGGCTAGTAAGTGGCAACAACTGATGAAGAGGCAAACTTGGCTAGTGGTGTCAACAACTGATGAAGAGAACTGGTTAGTATGCTAAACAAATCATTAGAAGAGGCAAAACTGGCTAGTAAACAAACTAAAAGAAGAGGCAACCAATATGTCAACAACTAAATGAAGAGGCAAATCACAATAGTATACAACAATAACAACTGATGGAAGAAAGTAAATCTGATGAAATTGTATGTCAACAACTAAATGAAGAGTGTAACTCAATAAACAACTGATGAAGAGAAGGCTGGGTACAACAAACAAATTGATAAGATATAAAACTATTAGTAGAAAGTCAAACAAACTAATGTTAAGATAACTATTAGTATGTCACAACAAATTCAATGAAGAGTAAACCGTTAGTACACAACAAATTGATGAAGAGGCAAATTGACAATTGTAATGATAAGAGGTAATCAGTCATATGTCAAACAACTGATGAAGAGGCAACTGGCTAGTAGCAATAAACAAACTAATGAAGAGGCAACTGCTTGGGGTATGTCAACAACTCACAGAGCAACCTGGTTGGGGGTGTCAACAACTAATAAAGAGGCAAACCATTAAAGTATGTCAACAACTGATGAAGAAAACTGTATGGTGTCAACAATTGATGAAGAGGCAACTGTTAAAATGGCAACAACTGATAAAGAAAACTGTTAAAGGCCAA